TCTGTCTCTGATATGGGGCTATGGGGATGGCTTTTCTACCTCACTCACAGGCAGACCAGAGCAGAGCATAGCTCCCAGCAGGAACCACAGAATCCTGAGAGGAGGGTCAGCTCAATTGCTACCCTCTCTCTTGCCCTCAAGTCAGCTACATGTCACATGCCTGAACCAGGCCTGCATTAGCGCACTGTTTAGAGGTGATCATGCAGCCTCAAGCAGAGCCTTGGAAGGAAGCGATCCACATATCACATATTTCAGGGCCACTTTTGGAGCCAAATAGTTTCTACTTTCAAAAATGTAGATAGTGCTGAAACAGAAAGGGCCTTTTGAGAGTACTCAACCTAGAGTTTCTTGAAAGTGTTGTCAGGGAAACTTCTGCATCAGCATCATCTGCAGAGCTTGATTAAAATGCAGATTATCTGGTCTCATCCCAGACCCACTGATTCATACTGTCTAGGAGTGAGGCCCAAGAATGTGCATGCTAAACTCCTAGGGGATTCTTATGTACCCTGAAATTTGAGAACCTCTGACAACTATTGGATCCTTGTATGGTCAGTCATCCAATTTTCCCAAGGTAAAATTTGCAAACCTCTTACCACAGAATCATTTGGGGTACCTATAAAAATTTCAGATTCCTGAGTCTCCTGTTAATACTCCTGAATCAGAATTTCTTATGTGTGATAAAGTTTAAAAAACTCAATCCTTTCATTGTACAGATACAGAAACTGACCCAGAGAGAGGAGGTGACTTGCTTGAGTTTATCAGTCTAGATGGTGGCAGAACTAGGGTCACACACAAATCTCCAGACAAATTCCAACAGTATGCCCCTCTGATCACCTCTTGAGGGTTATTTATGTCTCTGTTTAGCTCCTGTGGCCACAGCATTCCTTAGAAGGTCTAGAGCTCAAGAGTAAGAATGTAACTGCTCTGGGTAGTTGCATGACCCTAGGTCAAAGCTCCTCCTCCAATGGATTATGTAGAACAGCTTGAAAATAAAGCAGTGTGAGGTCACAAAACTCTCTAATAAGCAGCAGGGTCCTGCAGGCCCTTTTCCAAATGGGATCTTAAGGGACCCCAGAGTGGAGTAGTTTTATCTCCAGGGAGAATGTTAACCATGGCTTTGAGTCAAACTGTACACAAACACCAAATGGCTTGCAATAGTTTACTAAACCTATTTTTGTGTTGTTGTTTTTGCAGTTGAAACATACACCAATTAATTAAAATCTTAAATATGTGCAGTTTTGTGTCAGACCTGCTCTGAGCTCACTAGTCTGATCCCCCACGTATGTGCACTTGAGGTTCCAGCTCTGTCTTTGCTTCATCTCTTCAAGGTTGTGGTCTGGAACTCCTCCAGACTGGCATGCTGTGCCCCTGGATCTGCTGTGACAATCCAGTAGAAGGCCATTGACCTCTAGAAGGAGAGCAATTTCCCAAATGATAAGGCAAGGTAGATTTTCTTTGAGAGATTAAGCAATTGCCATTGACAACAGTGCTGTTGTATGATTTGCATTTGGGCTAATGCTTATAATATTAGCAAGTGTTTCACCAGCGCTACATAATTAGAAAAATTAAATGCTCTGCCACCTTAAATACATAATTCTGTAAAGAAATAGGAGAACTTTACAGATATTCTGGAACTTATGAAGGTGGAGGGAAAGGGCAAAAGGCAGGGACAGAGAAGGAAAAGTTATAATCACACCCTTCTAACCAAAGGAAGAGTTTGGTAGAGGTCCACAGTCCTTTATCCTCAATTCTGAAATCAAAAAGCTCTGTAAAATAGAAGCTATTTTGTCATTAATTTGGTGCCAAAACTCATTTAGCAGCAAAACCTGACCTGAACTGACATGAACTTAGTCTTTATCTCTGTTAGTATGAATATTCAGACAATTGTTTTCCTGTAGAAATGTTAATGGCTTAATTATGAGATGTTTTCCCAGACACCACTGGGAGTGTTATGTAATAAACAGTACATACTCTGTGTTACCTTTCTAAAATCCAAAATAAATAAATAAATAAATTCTAAAACACAGTCAGATAGACTGTGGCCTAGGATGATGGTAGCTAACATTTATGGAGCACTTGCCATCTGCATGAAGCTGCACTAATCTCTTTTCATCTCATTTAATCCTCACAACACTATGAGGCAGGTATTGAAATCATTTCCATTTTAAAGTTTGGAAACTGATTCTCAGAGAGGTTAAATAACTTGCCCAGAGTGACACAACTTTTGGCCAAGCCAGGATTTGGACCCAGGTCACTCTGACTCTAGACCCTACATGCTGAACTCTTGGAGTCTACTGCCTTGGAGAGAGGAGCAGTGGTGAAGGACAGCATGGGCTCTTTCTGGGCTTTATGTGGAGATAGAATAGGCTACCATCTATTCTATGTCATTTGAGGGCCAACCTCCTACCTCCAAATATGTCCCCTCCCCATCCCTACTTCTCTGTAATGTTATAACATGGCTTTATTCCTTAAAGTTCGTCTGGATGGCTTTTCTCACAGGGACTGCCTGTATCAGAAATCCACTGCGCAACTTGTTAGAGTACAGATTCCTGGCATCCACCCCAGACCTACTGAATCAGAACTACTAGGGACTGGGACCAAGTCGATTTTTAGCACACTAAAGTTTGAGGAAAAAGTGAGTGCCCTGAGAAAGGCCAATCATTAACCCTCATTAATTAATTAACATCCTAGCTATCAATTGACACCTAGCTGGTTTGGAAGGAATAAACTCATGGATGGGCACCTGGAAAGTGGAAGATATCTGAAAGGTAGACTTAGAAGGGTGAGTTATGGAAAGGAAGAAGGATATGACAATATCTCCCTAGTTTGGCAATATGTGATAAGGGTGGAGCCTCACCAATTACATTGTTCAGTTGCATTTGAACAATCTCGAAAGCAAATCTCTCACTTATTTTTTTGCCACTCAGAGCACCTATCTATTATCTCACTGATACTCACAACAACCCTCTGAAGTAGACAAAATAGTCATCCTCATTAGATAAAAGAGGAAATTGAGACCCAAATGAGTTCTTCAAAGTCATCTAATTGATTAATGCTAGTGTTTGAGTAAGTTTGTGACCCATAATCTTACACTGTTTCAATCTTCCAATAATTTCTTCCACAGGTCTAGAGAGGAGGAGCCATCAAATAAAACATAGGGAATCAATTGTTACATTTAATGATACACATTTTTTGCCCACCAGTGGCCAATTTAAAAACATTTAAATGGTATGCTATGCAAGGAAAGGGCAATCAGAGGAATTACACTGCAAAATAGTTCAACTGATAGGCCATATGTTTGGGGTTTGTTTTTAATTTTTACTGGTTGCTTTATTCTTGTTATCAATGCAGGGATGACAACTGAACATTTTGATCTTTATACTTTTAAGAATATTCTGTACTTGTTTGCTAGGTTTTCAACCTCACGTCTTCATCTTGCCTGTGATGTCTTAATCATCTCCATGGCAACAAAATGTGACCTCAGACAGGGACTAAGAAGCCAGAAAAATGAATTAACTACCACCACAGCAATCAGATCCCCACCACGATGCAGGCTAGGATTGGGGCACTGAGAGTCAACTCCAACCAGTGATTATTCCAATTTGGGCTAAGTGCTCTCTAGAGCAGTGCTTCTCAAACTTCAGTGCACATTCAGGTCACCTGGGAAATCTTGTTAAAGTGGACTACTGATGCAGTAGGTCTGGGGTGGGACCTGATAGCCTGCATTTCTAACAAACTTCCTGGCGATGTTGATGCTGCTGTTTCCCAGATCACATTTTTTTTTAAATGTATACTTCACATTTATTTAAAATTGTGGCATGTGGGACTGTGTGTAAAGAAATACAATTAAAATACTTGTGAAAAGAAATATTTATTACTAAGTATATCAAATCAATAGTCCCAATATGAAAAAATAGTATGAAAGAATACATGCTGAAAAGGCATTCACTAAAATTTAATCCCATCCCTCCTTAAATATAAGTCTAACAAAACTTTGAAAGGTGTTTGTTTAAAGATATAAAGGATAAATATATTAAACACCAGCCATGAAACTCTGATGGGAACACATTAGAACAGGATTTCTCTGAGTGTATTTTCTGGAATACTGATTCCACAAGAGGAATAAAAGGATTGTGCAGTGCAGTGATTTGGGAACATGTTGCTCACAGGTAGCCCACACCTGGATCACAATGAGCGTCAGCATGGCAAAGGTCTAAGTACATTTTGACCTTGAGGTTCTGGCTAAAATGCCTCTTCTTCAGGGGAACATTCCCTGGCCATGTTACTTCAGGTACATCCTCTTCCTTTCATTCTCTGTCACAATGCTCTATTTCCTTCACCAGATCACATTTTGAGTAGCAAGGGGCACAAATAGTCATCATGCCCAAGTAGTATATGCAAATGAGCACATTTGTGGTCCTGGAGGAAGCGCTGTTTTGGACAGCAGTCTTGATGAGCATGCCAGCTCTAATATTAACTAGTTGTGTGACCTTGGGCAAACATTTTTACCTCTCTGGGTCTCTGTTTTCTCATCTCTGAAACTACCAATTTGGCCTGGATGATCTCTAAGATCATTTTGGATGGTAAAATTCTTTGATTCTCTGATAAAAAAGATACTTTAGAACCAAAGGCTTAGTCTGAAGGAAAATTGTCCCTATGTTACAATGAAGGGGAGTGGGGAGAAAAATCTACTGTGACTTTTGTATTTATCTTCTTTATTCCAAATCCTCTCTGTGTCCTAAGGTAATTTATTTCTTCTGAATGTGCAGAACATTGGAATTCTCCACGAAGAAGAAGCAACACTGAGTGGTGGAAAACAATTTTGGAATCTCTCCAACTCAGCTCTTAGCATCCCCTTGCGAGTTCTTCATAGCTAACAGCTTTGGCTACTTGCTCATCAACACTGTTTCTCTGATCACAGAGCAAACCCACTGTCTGCCCATTGGTCTCCAGTACTGGTACTCAATTCTACTTAGTCCCACTTGGTTCTAGAAGATATTATGGAGAAGTACACAGAATCACCACCTACCTTACAGGTAGAGCATTCCTCCCTTCAGGCAGAGAATCTGATTCCGCGGCCACAAAAGCAGCATCTGACTGAGGAGAACCCTGCTATGAAGGACCAAGTCATGCCTGCCCTGTCTACCCTGATGATGCCTATATCCTGCTCACCTGAGCATCTCTCCCAGTTTCATGGTGACCCTGCCAATCTCGCAAGGTTTCTTGCTCAGGTGACTACCTACTTGACAACTCTCAAGATCCCCAATCCTGCAGATGATGCCCAAATCAAGTTCTTTTTTGACTACCTATATCAGCAGATGGAGAGTTGTGGGGTCATATCTGGGCCTGACCAGAGTACTCTGCTGAAGCAATATGAGAACTTTGTTCTTGAGTTCCAGCAGTCATTTGGTGAGCTGACAAAAGAGAAAATGAACCATCTGGACAAAGGGGACAACTCCTCTCAGCAGGATGCTACTACTTTCCAGCTCCTTGCTCAAAATCTGAGCAATAATGAAACCAATCAGAGTGATCACTTTCAAGAAGGACTAGCTGACCCCATCCAGGATGAAGTGAGTGGCACAGATATGATGGACAACCTCCCAGACCTGATCACTCAGTGTATTCAGTTGGACAAAAAACGTAGTGACAGGCCAGAGCTCCTACAGTCAGAGGCCCAGCTCCCAAAGTTGGCTTCCCTGATCCACCACCAAGCCCTCTCCAGTCCCACAGGTTTATCACCTAAGGAAGAGTCTATACAGCTGCGGGGAAGCCAGCTGCCTCTCACCCCAGCCAAACGGGCCCGCCAGCAAGAAACTCGGTTGTGCCTCTACTGCAGCCAGTCTGGTCACTTCACAAGAGATTGCCTTGCCAAACGTTCTCGAGCCCCAGCAAGGATAAATAACCCAGCTCACCAGTAAAAGGGACCTAGGCAGATCACTTTGTAAACTTATATCCCTCTTACCTCTAGCCTTACTGATTTATAGCCTATAAATCTATAAGCACTAACAGATCTTGTTTATTTGGTGACCCATCACCAAACCTGACCCAATGATGGTGAAAACAACTCACAGGCACCTTCTGCAGTTGGGACCACTTCCCCAAAAGTACTGAAAACCTGCAGGCAAAACTCTGCTGAGTCTGAGCCAATAAAAACAACCCTGGCAGTGCATTGGGAACCCCATCCCCACCAATGGATGAGATCTGGGTTGAGTTTGTTGGCCCAAGTCTTCTGTGCCTAAGATTAGGTCCAAGCCTTTCACCCTCACCCTCACTGGTCTGTATCCTAGTTCCCTATGGGTTTAGGACCCTTGGCTGAAGTTCTAATTGCATTCCCATATCCTACCAATATTTTCCTATTGGAGTCTGGATCCTGATCCACCTGTTGACAAGAGTCCAGCTGCAATACAAACCAACCTTTGTGGAAACACAGCTCTGCCACCCTTCTGTATAGCTATGTATTTTGTTGCCATTTAACAACTTCTGCTTGCCCAACAAACTGGATCTCTTGGCTATTGACAAACCAGATGGTATGGCCCATTGAAAACTCTGCTTGGAACTATTGGTCCATCGCTTTGAGGGCCAGCCCTTCAGGCAGGTACATGTTATTTGCTAAGCCCTACCAATCCCAGGTTATTGCCCTCTTCCCTAACAACCTACTTGAGGTTCAAGGATGTCTTATGAACAAGTCAAAATGATCTAGGATAATGACCTCTGAAAAGTATTTAGTGAGAGTTGGGGAAGGTGTTCCATCATAATTACTGTGTCCGCAGCAATGTCCTTGCTGCCTTAGACAGGAAACCTGGCTAAATAAATCTCCACTGAAGACTTAGGCTCAGGCCCTGCAGTAGTTTCTGACTTTGGAGACCTCAGTGTGGTCACCACCTAGGATCACTGGCCATTGATATTGAGCTCTACACTTATGGACCACCTCTGGGGACCCTCATCTAGTTGAGGATCTTGAAAAGCAATTAATGGCAGACAACTTTCTGAACCATCCCATCTGAAAAATCCTGGGGCATATACATCAACACCCTCTGTGTGTAAAACTCAAGAAGTGGGGAGTTTGATTGCTCGTGTTGTGCTCTTGGCACACATCAGCTCTGTGTATGGATTCCTAATGCTTCTGAACAAAAGTAGTGCCATGCTGAAAAGACACAACTCCCTAAAATGTTAAGGATATCCAGTGATGATCGGTGTTTGCTGGTAATTACCAGTCCTCTGTTTCCTGCTTCTTGGTGCTGATGTATGTCCCCCTAATGGATCTCCTGAAAAAAGATCAGTAATTCCATATCCCCTAGCAACCATCAAGGACTCTCAGAATATGAAGTGCCAGTGTACTTTGACCTTATTTCTGAAGAATTCTGCGAACTTTGACAATATTTAAACCCAGCTAGCACCTTACTACTATCACCCTATAGCACTAACAAACAAATCTTTTCACCCATCAGTGCCTCACTAACCACCGTGCCAATCCCTATTTGCATTCATAAGGTGTCTCCTTTATCAAAGCTTGCTATACATCCATCTTACTCCATATGCTCTCACAACAAGGAGACATGAATGCATGTATTTCAGTTGTGCCAAGAAATTCCCACTGGGGTACTGGGATTAAATGAGATCCTCTAGCAAGTATGTCTATTTGAACTTTAAGTGACTCTAGGATTACCTGGAGGTATCCTGATCTAGCACCACCAATTCTGTAATAAAGGACTAACCCAATGGCTTCCAGTCACTTTCCTTGCTGACCCCAGTACAGTCCTGGAATGCTGATAGGAACATTTAGTTGGCTTCATCACCAATCTTTCCTTATCTTACGGCCAGAATTTATCATTGTGTGCTTTCTCACGAAGATGTGTCACTTTATTCCTGTTTGGACCTTCGCTCAGCAGCAACATTACTTTCTTCCCCAAGAAATCTTAAGATTCCATAGCCTCTTAGAACAGATAATTAATCCTGGGCTATGAACTTCAGTTCACCTCCCACTTTTAGAAGCCCCTTGTTGAGGAATTCTCAATCAAGGACTTCTTGTACTCTGTGTGATATAATCAAACAGCCAGACAGTACATATGAACAGGACGCTAGGATAATGCTTTACTGTTCACTAACTAGCAACCATTTTGTTTACCACTTCAAAATTTTGTTTTAGTGACACTATCCACTTCAACTAGAATGAACTCATTACTTAGCATAAAGAGAGTTACATGGATGTGTCCTCAGAATTTATACATAAGTGAAATTCTCTGAGAGTGAAACTCATTAAAATCTATAGAGAACAGATGAGATTTAACCTACTCAAAGATAAAGTCCACAACTGCAAAGGCTTAGGGAACTCCCAGGTCAAATCACGGTGGTAGTTTTAGGGAGGCAGATCTGCTACATGATTAATGCCGCCCAGCAAGATAGAATTTAATCATTTTATGATAAGTCTGAAGAAGAAATTGTTAACAAGAGAATGATCTGCATGGAGTCTAGAAAAGGGAGCAATTAAAGAGCCACAGGGCATCGGTAATCTCTCTAGACTCAGAGAGGGGACGTTGACCATCAGACGATTTGGCAAGTCAACCTACAGTGGGGTGAAGGCACCAGGCCATCCCAATTTGTGTCATTGGCCATTAAGATTGTCACCTAACTCCCTCTGCTCTGACTCCATGCTCTAAGAAGCAATCTGATTATAATTACTTTCCCATATAAACTTTGTTATGGGGAGAAATTTTGCTAACCAGCTGATATGAGTGCTTTAGCCTATTTGGCAATTAATTCTCATTATAAATGAATAAATTGGTGTTTGGCTTATACATCAGTTTTTTTGTGGGTTTTAATAGCATCAATCCTTCAGATCCTAATTATCTCTGAGCACATTGGGAAAAAAATAAGATTCTCACTATGAAAAGTCAACACCACGGTGTGACTGTAGTGAGTCCACTGAAGATTGCTCACCCTGGGATCCTTGCCTCAACTGTCAGTTAGCCTCCCTCTTTATCTCTGTCATTTGTCTACAACTGCAATAAAATTCCTAAATACCCATGGTTTTCACTTTCTGTACTTACCTCCATTCACATTCAGCACCATGGTGCCTGCCATACGTAATTGCTTCTTACAATTCTACATCATTCAGTCTAATCATCAGAATATACTGCCGTGGATGAAGACATAACACATGACTATAGAGATGAGCCACTGATAAGCACCTTTAAAGAGGGAGGAGTGTATGATTGGCCTAACTCTTACCATCTCTATTCTGTCCAGATGGCAAGACATAGGACCCCTGCTGTCACTGCCCCCACCTCTATCCATGATGGTAAAACAAATAACACCCCTTTTCTGGGCTCTGGGAGATCTTTTCCATCCAGCACCATCTTGCCTATGACTACAGTAGTTATCTCTGAGACAAAATAGAGCAATTAGCATGTATCAGCATCTTGGCAAAATCTAACACCACACGCCAGTAGGAGAGCCCTGGGAGTTTGTGTCACTCCTGTCAAGCCTTCTACGTTGGTGGCCATGCTTCATTGCCTCCCTATGAAGCTTCAGGCCTCTCTTTGCCCAGAGAATGGAAAAACGTTCAAGGGAATATACTGCCATGGATCTTCAATGTCACCTTCATGCAAGTGTCACTGCCCACATTTTAAAAACAAAAGTCCCAGAAGTGAGTTATGCCATTTAGTAGAGTCAGTAGAACTATCTTGGTACCTAAACCATGCTGCCCAGTCGTTGATTGCCACTATAACTTTGAGCATTCATACACTAAATTTTTGGTATTACTTCCTGATATTGGCTTTGATTCTTGGGTCTAATTGAACCTGCTTCCTGCTCACTGATTTCCAGTACATATCCTACATGGCATTGGTTCTCTTATCTGTCCAGCTCAGTGATAACCAGTTGTGACTGTATTCTACCAACCACATTTGCTTCATAGTAAGCCAGTGGAGAACCATGTAGAATTTCAGTTTTCCCTATGCATAGAAGACTCATCCCTTTGGGCGTAAAATCTGGCTTTGTGTGCATCTAGAGAAAGGGAACTAATAGTTGGTGAATGCCTACTTTATGCCAGGCACTGTGCTCAGTGCTTTAATTTCTAATGCTACTCATTTAACTTCACATTACTAAAAGATTGAATATCCATTTCTGACATTTAATGCTCACCACAGCTTTATGAGGTAGATATTATAAATTCAATTTAAGGATGATGAAATGAAGGCTCAGAACAGTTAACTTACCTGCCCTAAAGTCACCCAGCTAGTAAGTGACAGGGCTAGGATTTGAAACCAGTATCTTTCTATTACCAGAGCCACTTGATCTCTGATAGAAAAGGGAAACACTCTAAGTCACACCCCTCCTGACTAGCCTAACTAACTGACCCAATTACACCTCCCATAGCCACTCAGTTCAGAGAGGCCACTCCGGTAACTGGAATTCACATACCCAGTGGTTGAAACTCGTGTTCTCAACAGCAGTCTATAAAGGAATCACAGAACAAATCAGTGCCTTCCAGGACGTTGAAATTTCAGTTGTGTTTCTAATGAGTTGGAGAAAATTCCTTGACACATCTAAAAATACACTGTCTGCATTATCTGATTGGGTAGGCTCTTGCTTATTGAGTCAGGATTTAACAAAGGTTTCTGGCTATCACAAAGGCTTCATATTTCTGTAGCTCTTCATTCAAAGCTATTGAGTCTTTTTGAACAATAGCTCAATGATATTTACAGTGTTTGCACAATGCCAGGAGACAACAAAGACTTTGAAGGCTTCAGATGGTTGTTATCTGCCATTGTCGTGGGAAAATCAAGATTAAAATAAGAGTTGGATTAATTCAGACAGCAGTTAGTTAGCCATTTAAGTTTGAGAACTACTCCCAATGTATGAACCTCAGGGAATTTCCAGTCCAATAATCTGACTCTGAGGAGCATTATGGGAAGAT